CCCCTTAGCAGCCGGCTGCGCTCCTGCCCGCTGCATCCCCGTTTCCCGAAAGCGGGATGCGAGCAGGGCCTAGGCCCGAGCCAGCCGCCAGCCCTGCCCTGCGCCGCTCGCCCCAGCGCCTCTCCCTGACTGCCACAGCCAGGGAGAGCCAAGAGCATTTCTGCACGTTTCGCTTGCACGGTGGATGCGAAGAGATGTCTGCTTGCAGCTTCGTTTTGAACGTGTCCGAAACATATCAACTGACCCCAAATTTTTGACTCTCAATGAATTCCCTTCACACTTCCCATGCACAGGATTCTGTTCTCTTTTTCTGGCTTTCTGGGCTATTTCTCACCAAAGCATTGGAAAGAGAGCCATACCAGCACCAGAGGTACCTTAGAAAGAACCACCTTCTCATAAAATACAGACTGTTGCCTATTATGAAAGATTTGATGTCAAGATTTTAGAGATGCTAAGGGAAAACTCTGTGATTGAATTAATTTAAGTTATTGAAGTTAGGAAAGTGGTTACTTTGAAAATTCACACTGTGGTAAGTTAAAGAAGTACAGAATCAATCTGAAAAGCAAGAAGTAGAAATTTAAGAGTGGAGAAGGATAAAGAGGAAGGTATTTCAAGGATATTGTTCAAGAACAGTGAAGAGCAATATGGGGCACTAAGTAAGAAAATTAACACCGTGAGACAGGCCTATTAAAGATGCAACTGAGTGGCCACAGAATATTCAATTTCTTGTTAAAAGACAAACTGCGACCCCATGAAATCTCACTCAAAGTTACAAGTTGTATTCAAAGCCCTCTTTTCTCAGCTCCCCTCCTTTTCCCCTTCAGTTGTATGTGCTCACTGTGTTCCACCAGGCCTGGAGCTAAGCCACAATCTTCTTTTGGAGAAGCTCCTCCTTTCTCACTTTATCTGGCCCAGTGAAGAGGCTACCCACTGCAGAGAGGATCGAGAGGAACAGTTGTTTCTTACTCATGATGCTCAGAACCATACCACGAAGAAAAAGTTTGTAACAAAACTCCTGCCTTGCTGTTCATTGAAAAAGATCATAGCCTTTCTTTTTTTCTTCTTTTTTAATTCATGTGTGCCTACTCTGCAGCCTCCAATCCTGTTAATACGTGTGCCATCATCTTCCCACCTTCATCTGGAAGCATTACGTGCTGTTTGCTTTCCTCCTAATATCCTTTCTTCTTTCCAGGCCCTTCCCATCACCCCTCCCACCCCCATGCAAGCACAGACACCTTTCTGCTTTCTTAACAACTGATCTCAGCTGTGGGAAGGTAAACTGTGTGGTTGCCACATCCAGGGAAACACAATTGGTAGGGAAATAACTTCAAGGGAGACACCACACATCTTACCCCCCTTAGTGGCAGTTTCTCCCACTAAGAATAAAGATTTACCACTTGCCTTTGTCTCTTACAGCATGCCCTGCTCTTGCTTCTTGTGACTTCTATTCCTTCTCCTCAGAGCCTTCTAACTCCATGTGCATCCTGAGAGCCATTATTGCTCTGAAACGAAAAGATATTCAGCAGGCCTGTCCTGGTTTCAGCTGGGACAGAGTTAATTTTCCTCCTAGTAGCTGGTACAGTGTTGTGGTTTTGATTTAGTGTGAGAATGATGCTGATAACACACTGATGTTTTAGTCATTGCTGAGTAGCCTTAACCCAAGTGAAGGACGTTTCAGTTTCCCGTGCTGTGCCAGCGAGGAGATGCCCCAGAAGCTGGGAGGGAGCACGGCCAGGACGGCTGACCCGCACTAGCCACAGGGATATGCCAGCCCACAGGCCCTCATGCTCAGGAGATAAACGGGGGGGAGCTGGTCGGGGCGGGGGGCGATCACTGCTTGGGGACTGGGTGGGCATCGGTCAGCGGGTGGTGAGCGACTGCACTGTGCATCACTTGTCTTTCTTGCGTTTTACTTCTCTTTTTATTTTTCTTTTCATTATCATTTAATTGATCATTATTATTTCATCACTAGTATTATTATTGTTATAGTTATATTTTATTTAAATTACTAAACTGTTCTTATCTCAATGCATGAGTTTTACTTTTTTTTTTTCTTTCTGATTCTCCTCCTCATCCCATGGGGGGTGGGGGAGAGGAGTGAGCGAGTGGCTGCATGGTGCTTAGTTGCCAGTTGGAGCTAAACCGCAACAAGGCCTCAACATTTACAGCATATGTAGAAGCTCTTCAGCTTATAGGACAGCCTGAGACGTTATTTCACATAGCCTACAGCCGTATGTCTTTTCCCTTTATGGGAAAGCACTAACATGTATAATTGTAGAGCTTGCTAGTAGTGCTTGAAAGGGCCATCAGATTGTTGGGCAAGAAACAGATTCCTCATCCTGAGAAAAACTGATACCTCAATTAATATATCCTAATACTAAATATAAATAATATTTTGTCTTCGTATTAAGATGTCATCTAGATAAGTCTTTCAAGCCACAAGCCGTACGGTAATTAGACCAACACATAGGGAGTTCTGGGAATAAGCAACATGTATCTATATCTGGAATCAGCAATGATTTCTTCCTTTTGAGGTCAGTAATAAGATAACAGTTATCAAATTCAAATTATCAGTCTAGTGTCAGACAGAAAAATTACTTCTGAAGGCCATTCTCTCCTGGGTTTTTTCTGCTTCATATGCAGTACTTGGTATTACTTGTTCTAGAAGTACTGACTAAATACTGCTCTTAAGATTTTGTGAGCTCAGAGCAACAAAAAAATAGACCAGCCCTGCAAAAATATATGCCTCCACACACCTGGGGAAAATAAAAATTTAAATTATTTTTTTTCATCATCATTGCCGTAAATGTTGACGAAGTGGATTTTTGTGCCTGGCAATTTTTCATGTCAACAGTGTAAGGCTGATTTAAAGTGCTGAGAGTCAGGTCACATCTACTCCATTTCAAACCAAGTAGTTTTGAAAGGAACATAAAAATCACTCAGTATGCTGACTCATCCATTATGGCAACTTAAATATTTAAACTGCTGATACTTATCTTCATTGTGAGCCAAAGTGGATTCCATCAAAGCTGGATTATTGCAATTGGGTTTCCATTTACTCTTGTGCAATGAATTCCATTTGCAATTAGCTCTTTTTAAATCTGTCACTGGATTAGTTTAAACAGCAATTCAGATCCAATTCCTGTGGATCATAATGAGAATCAAAACCCGGTATTTTTAAGAGTACTATGTCAAAGGACTTCCATAAAAGTGTGTTTAAGTCACACACTTTCATTAAAAGCAAGAATGCATAGATAAATTATTGAAATAAACAGACATCCATACACACATCTGCTAAAATGAGTGAGGAGCTTATGAGGTCAAAGCCTTCTGGTATCACCCAGTCTAACACCATGACCTCAATGAATCGCATCATCTGTATCACAAAGAAAAGGAGGACAGGGCAGCAAGCTGAACTCTCACCCAGAAAAACAGCACTGCCATGTAACCTGATTTTTCTTTTTGAGCATTCAGACTGGGGCTACTTACACAGCAGATTTTGCTCCCACTTCACCACTATAAAGGACTTAACTCCTGTATCTGCAAGAGGCCCATTATTTCTTACCATCTTTGTAAACTTGGAGAGCCGCTAAAGAGTACCTTAATTACCAACTGGCCCAACCGATCCATGCGCTGCTAGCGTACCCTTGCCTCCTAAGGGGATCTCAGCAGACGGGAACAAATAGCCACGATCTAACCCTTTCAGCTAACACCAGGGCACGGCACAGCATGAGCACCCCAGCAGCATGACCTAGGGGCAATGGATCAGCCTGCACATAATGCTGTTCTTTTTACTTTGGCCACCTTAATTCCTACGATGAGGTGTGTTAAAGGGAGCTGAGATCAGCCCTATTTTCTAAAACATGACAGACGCCTTGTCATTATTACTTACTTGCTGTAACACAAAGGCTTGAAAGACCTATAGTGTTTACCAATAAATAAATGATATTCAATTATATTACTAGATTATATAATACCTTCTGACAAACAATACTTCGATTAATCCATTCTACCAACAAATATAAATAATGCTGCATCTGCATGTGAAGACCTCACCTAGATGAGCAAGAGCACAAAGGCCAAAAGGAGCAGACGCGGTGATACCTGCCCAAAAGCAAACGCATTAACCCAGGCTCTGCCGGTGCCGGGGCATCTGCCAAAGGGTGGTTGTGACCATCATCCAGTTTTCATTTTTGAAACTCCCGAGAGTGGAAATTCCCCCTCCGTGGCATAGCCAGAGCCTGTGGGGCACCCTCCTACAGACTGTCAGGGCACAGCACAGCTCCTGCGCAGTTGGAGACAGTGACAGTCTGAGTCACAGAGGCATGAACCAGGAAGGGGGCCCAGACAGATACTGACATATCTGGTCACACCTGCTCAAAGTCTTCCCGGAAAATCAGGTTGTGTGGGGAGCTGGGAGGTTACTAAAGATAAAGAAGTCTTTGGCATCATGGAGATTTTCCCACCCTCCAAGCCATCGCCCAGAAACTTTAATAGTACAGCAGTATTTCACAGTAAGTTCTCTGATGCCAATATTCTAAAATATTTAAATGATGCAATTACTTTAGGAAATTAATATTCCCTTCACCTCTCGCCTCCAAAAAGCCCTGTGACTAGGGTACAATTTTGGCCAGTCTTCCTTATTTACTTGGATGCATTCTGAGACCTCCTTCTGTGTTAGAAGCCAAACCCAAAACTGGACTTCTGCAGAATGTACAGCACAAGTCCAGACATCTAGAACCCTCTCTTCATTCCCACTTAATTTAACCTTGAAGAGATTAATGTACTTTTAAAAAAATGCATTAAATCTGTCAACAATTTATGAGCTGTCAGCATTTAAATAAGCAAGGATAGAGGTCGAACTAATGGGGCACAGCAAAAATTTTATTTCTACTTTGTCCTTAACGTGTTTTTGTTATGCCTCAGTTTCACCTTCTGAAGAGATAACAGACTGTAAAAGTGATTAGGCTAAAGTGAAGCATTAATTTTGATTTAAGAAGTAAAATGAGCTGCAAGAGTATAACTGAATTTATTTGTTCCTTAGCAATATTCACAAATAGATCAATTAAGCACCTGCAAATGCACATCAGACATCCCAAATCCTTTTAACTGGTGTAACAGTGGACAGCTGGATTTTACATTTTCAGTGTACCTGTAATTTCTCTAGTGCTGCAGGTTTCATTAATAAAGTGCATTTAAAATCTTGACAAGATAGATGAACTAGTATTATCTTGTTTCAGTGTAAGTTTAACCACTTAAATAGAGAAGACTTCCACCCAAACCTTTTAACATTTTCCTCTTCATTTTCCTTTGTGTCTGAAACAGAAGCCTCTCTGTTTTCCATCAAAGCTTCGTAAGTCTTTTGTGCTCGAACAATTTCTTTGTCTGCACTGAAGTGCACCATTTGTCTGCTCAGAAGAGGAACAACTAAATTGAAGTTGTCAATTCTTTTGTTTAATTTCCTGATATCTTCTATAAATTGCTCACAAATGTGATTCCACTGCTTTTGGCTACATGGCGTCATTGGCCCTCCAAGCTTACTTCTAGATGCCACTATACTCTTCCTTAACCGCTCAATAGTTTCCCGTATTTCTTTCTGCATCAGGATCCACTCTGGCTGGTAGCCATTGTCTATCAGAATCCTGTTCAAGTTGTGAGTCATAGGGTCAATATGTGGACAGTCTGAGAATTTCTGCAAGGGTTTCCCTTTGCCACTGAGGTTGTCAAAGTCTCCTTTCGCCATCGATTCCTGGATGAGGTCCTCGACCAACCGTTCAACTGCCTGAGTTATTTTCACCTTTTTGCTTTGCCTCACGTCTTTGGCTTTCATTAGGTCAGTAGCAGCATACTGGCTTTCAAGTCTCTGCTTCCGATACTCCAACACTTGTTCAGTAGCGCGGTCTACTCGAAATTGCATGTACTGCTTTTCTCTTTGGCTTGGAGTTCCAAAACCAACGCCTTCAAAACTCAAGTAGTGTCTATGCTGTGGTGCTTTTGATTTCAGCTGATCTTCCTCCTCTTCATTATTCTCGGTTGATGTCTTTTTGGATGCCACATCACTGAGCACGACTCTGTACGCTTCTTCTACTTTCATAAATGCTTCAGAATCAGCTGTGGCAGAACCAGTGTCTGGATGGTATTTTTTGGCAAGACTTCGATAAGAGTTTCTGATATCATCAAGGGAACACCCTTCCTCAAGCTCAAGAATTTTGTAAGAGTCCTTGACGTTGCTTTTAGGTTTGTAACCCGACAACATTCTGCTGCCACAAATGCAGGGAAACAGCTTCACGATTCTTGGAATCATTGCTTGACGCCCTGTGTTGTTAGTCAGCATGACACAAAGCCACTTAATATTTCTTCAGATGCAGCTACATTACAAACAATGACCTAAAACCACAGTTTTATAAAAATTGTGTTAACTATGCTTTTTAAAAGAACTTACATGATTTAAGTATTATCTTTAACTTGTTATACCATTTAAAGAAATCCCTACAAAATTTCAGAACCATATGCAATGTTATTTTCTTTTATGGACTAATATTGAAATCTGCATTTCTTATTAATTACTACTGAAGTAGTAGTATTACAGTGTAAATGAAAATTAATTCACAATAACAGTTTTCTCCTGGTATAGCAACAGTAACATGGGTTTGTTTGCACTGCAGACTTCCCAAAAAGCCAAAGCTTTATTGCCTTTCTGCAAACTCTGTGCAATGTAAACCTGAAATATGTTGAGCTGTAGCTCTGCTGAAACGTATCTCTCCCCTTTCCTCGATACACCTACATTCAGCCATCAACTGCATTTTCTACTCACATACATCAGTGCCTCAAGACCTTGTATATTCTCAAAGGATCTCATTACAGTATCCTTTTGGTATTTCACAGCATCAACTGAAGTAGCGTTCAAATTATAGATTCCTTCAAATTAACTCTTGTATCCCAGCAGGACTCTCACATTCTAGTGGCCAATCTCCTGCATTTGTGCCAGGTAAGGTTATAAAACTGGAACTCAGAACAGATCAGTAGCTGACAGCATCTCATTCTGTCAGGAATACCAGCACTTCTGAATTATTTTGGGAAACAGCAAAAAGAACACCTTTAGCAAACGACAACATAAGTAAGTCCTCATGCAAAATTAAAAGTAGAAAAGTATCATACAAACTGCACACACAATTTACACATCAGCTAAATTCTCTTTATTAACGAAAATCCTAAAACAAATGCTGCATATGTAGTGCTAAAGAGTCTGCTTTTGCAGATTCATCAGTGACTACAACATATCATCTGCTGACTTCCTTTCCAAATAAAAAAATAGGTTAAATAAAGATTAAGGAATAAATAGCGTTTGTATGTTCTGCATATAACAAACTGCCCTTCTGCATTAACCCACCTGAAAAGAGAAGGGAAAGGAGACCTACTTGGGACCGGATGAAAGATTGGATCAATCCTGAATGTTTTCAGTTGATTTTAATCCAGGTAATGCATTAAGTCATCAGCTTGTGGTTATTATTATGGACCTTATTAACATGTTGGGGGTTTTATTTATGATATAGGTGATTTATTTCCTTCTAGGTGGTCAGCTAGATAATAATTTAGTTACATATGGCCATAAAAATCCACACAACTACTACTTAAATGGAAAAAAAAAAATTCAACGAATACACTTTTGAAATTCAACATGCTGATCTGAAGCAGACTTTCTCGCAACTCCGTAGACTTGATTTTAATATATCTGTGCTTAAAAAAAAAAAAAAAAAGGCAAACCCTGTATCAAACGGTACGTATAGCACTCGCCCCACGGCGCCGAACGGTGCCGGCTGGGGGGTGTGTGTGGGGGGAGATTGTTATTCCCCAGCCGCTTGAATTCAGCTCCCCGCGGTGAGGCCGGCGCAGGGGGGAGAAGACCGAGCTCCCCCCCCCCCCCCCCCCCCGGGCAAGGCCGAGGAGGGCGGCGTTACCGGAGGCACGCGCCTGGCGCACGAGCCAGCCTGCCCCGCCGCCCTCAGAGCCCCAGCGGCTGCCCCCCCGCAACCGCCCCCCCCCGCGCTGGGCGGCGGGGGCACGGACAGGCTCCCGCCCGGAGGCAACGCTGAGGAAAGCAGTTACCGGCAGGCCCGCAGCGTGTCGCTCGGCACCCGATTCCCTCCCCGGGGGTGTTGGGTCGGGCGGGGGGAGGCTCCCCCCGTCCCCGCCCGCCTCACCTGGTCGCCGCCGCCCTTCCCCCCCGAGGAGGGGGTAACGGAGGAGGAGGAGGAGGAGGAGGAGGAGGAGGAGGAGGAGGAGGAGGAGGAGCGACCGCTGTTACCCTTCGTCCAAGGACGGGGGCGCGCCGCGCCGCTCAGCCAGCGGAGGGAGCCCGAGGCCCGGCCTCGCACTGGCGCGGGCGGGGGGGGGGGGGCGCGGCGCGTGGGCGGGCTTGCGGGGGCCCCTGTGGGCCAAGCGCGCGTGCGCAGTGCAGGGCGAGGGGGGTGGGGTGGGGGGGTGTCCGGCGTCGGGTCGGGGTTAGTGCGTAGAGCGCATGCGATGAGAGCGTGCGGGAGGCGCAGCTTTTCTCGTTCTTTTATTTTACTACATACGCCTCATACACCTAGTCCTTCGCTGCTTTTTAGCCTTTGTTCTCCGGAGCGAGTTCCGCCTTAGTCGGTGGCACCTCCCCCTGCCTCTTCACGGGCCGGTGAGGCGGCTTACCCTGACAGAGGCCTGGTCTTTCCGCAGCGACCTCGCCCTTGCTCGTGGCAGGGTTTTCAAAACGTTGTGGGCGTCCCTGGGCAGCCGCGCTGAGCGGGCGTTCGCTGGGCCGCGCCGGGCCTGTGGTGACCCAGAGCTCCCCGTTTTCCCACAGCCGCCGTGCGTGGCAGCGGCTGGGTGGTGGGTGGGGGACGGCGACTTCAGCTAAAGAAACCCCAAGCCAAGAAGCAGTTCTCACCCTCAGCTGCGAAAGGAGGACCCAGATGCACGAACTGCAGGCCCGGCAGATGGAAGACAAATAGAAATCTGTTTCTTCCCTGAACACCAGCATCTAATATTAAAAAATAAACGAAAAAAGCTCCTTGTGTTTTTTTTTTTTTTTTTTGTTAATGGTACTTGGTGGGGTATGGTTGAGCATGCTGCGTAGCCAGCCAGTGAATTGGTGGCACTGACATCTGAAAGGAAGCAGCAACCACACAGAGCAATCTGCTCCATTTTACAGATTGCAGTATCATACTCTGACTGCTCATCCGGTTATGGCTTTGCCAGTATACTATCTTAGTGAATAACATCAAAATGCATTGTTTCAGAGATATTTTATATTCATTAGGTAATGGTTTTCTACTTTGTTTTTTTTTGTTTGTGTTTTGTTTTTGTTTTTTTTCATTTAAAATATGCTTTCTGTAAAATATTTTGATTTTGGAAGTTTCTGTGTATATTGACTTTCTCTTCTGCATATTCACTTCATCACCTAAGAAAATAATTTGGTTGAATAATTGCAATACGAATTGACCCACTGGACTGAATGCAAGTTTAATTTATCTTCTGGCCAATCATGTTGCAGTGAGACATTTCAGAGCTACAGGACTTCTGTTTCTGACTTAAATTGTCACAGCCTCATGGCTGGAGGAAGAAATTCCAGAAACTGTTGCAAAAGAGAGAAATTTTATTGCCAATTAAGAAATAGGACTCTTCTTTCCTTGTGGTGCTTTGCTGTTCAGTCACAGGTAGAGAATGTAGAACTGTGAGCTTGCAAATCTAAGGCAGTCTGCAGATACTCAGTAAGTGACGCTTAAGACTGTTGTAGCAGGCACGTCTCCTTAAACTGGGAGGTTCTGTTCAACAGTACACAAGCTGTTAATTCCACAGAAGCTTTAAACAAACTTTGCAGATTTCCTTTAAATATTTGTTTCAGTGGTATGAAAGGAATGGTTTGTGTTTCTATTAATGTATTTTTACATTTCTCTTTGACTGACTTTAAAACACACAGATACTGCTCAGTGCTGTGTTGGGATACATTAATTTTGTTTTCAGTGAAGAGTGGTAGCATTGCAAGCTTGCCAGACGTCAAGTAAAGGATTTCAGATACTATCATGAAAGGATTAGACTGTTAAAGAGGAGGGTGTAGGAACCAGTGGAGAACAAAATAACGCTTATTATATAGATTGTATCTGTGGCACTACGTGTATTAAATTTCTTCAAAAGGTAAAAAGGGTAGTAATTAAGGGGGATGCAATTCCAGTGTCTGTTAGATATTAATATAACCTTTATATATACATCTAGAGATATGTTCTATTACAAAGAAGAGGTTTGTGGGAGTTATGTGTGCAGGTTTTAACTGGAGTGTTTCAGCTTATCTGTAAACCATGAAAGCTGTGTTTTGTTTTAGCAAGTTGTCTTTGAGATTCTTGTCAGAGAATATAAAATCACTTTTAACATGGGAACTGAGCAATTATCTCAGCTTTTTGATACCACATTGTAGTTTGGTTTTGTTTTGTTTTTCCTAGAGTTGAATACTATTAATATTGTAGGACTGATTGGTGGGGAGGAATTGTGTTTGTTGTTATCTAAGGAAGTATGGAAAGAGAGAATGGTCCATGCTGCTGAAGCCTGTGGGGAGGTCTGTTTTGAAGGGCTGGGCAGCATTAAGGGGATCCTGCTGGAGATCCTCCTGTCAGGAGGATAAAAGGGGACAGGGCAGCAAGCAGGTCTGTCTGCTTCTTTCACCCTCTCACCCTTATCCTTGGCTTTAGGAGACCAGAAATCGCTTGGATCTGAAGCAGGAGCTGAAGAAGGAACTGGAATCCATCTGGAGAACTCCTCAGCCTTTTGTGTGGACAAACAGCAGGGTCTGACACGGTAAGGGAAGACGATTCGAGTGAGACATCAGCATTTCCTCTAGGATCAACCGTCTCACCAGCTTTCTTTTCTTCCAGCATGCTTTTGCACTGCTTTGCAAAAAATGTCTTTAGTGTCCTCACTATGATGTGAAATGGAAATGTGCATTTTTTCCACAGGGTAGGAGGCACTGCTTGGTTTCACTCTCTTTCCGGTCAGGAACTTTAATTTATTCTGCCTTAGAAAAAAAACTTCAGTAAATTGTGAAATTGTATTTAACAGAAAAAATAATTTTGATTTTAAAAAACATTTTGCTTTTTATTAATAACAGTTGGACATAATGAAGCTTCTTAGAGAGTATGTTGATGTCTTTGTTACAGCTAGAGTGCTTGTAACCCTTTACCTTTAAGTTCATAGCAACTTCCTAGTAACTCCAGAAATACATGTCATCAGTGACAAAAGGAAAAACAAAGTCTGACATATGGGATAGTTACATAGTATAAAGACTTAGAAAAGTCTTTTGCAAGGAAATAAGCCAGGCAATTGATAGAGCATTAAGCTCATGCTCTGAGTTTATACACATAGAGCACAATACCTAAAACCTAAATTTAGTCTCTTAGATAATTCACAACAGTCTGTAGTCCCCAGGGACAGGCTACTTGAAGTACTTACATTGTACTTGGACAATTTAATAATTATAAAAAAATATATATTTAAATTGTATTTTGTTGATATTAGTTTAAGACACCTTAGTACTGTCTCAGGAACTCTAAACATGATTATTGATTTATCACAGCCCTATGAACTCCTTTTCTGAAATATTTTACCTCAGTGTCACCATTTAGCTTCTGTTTGCCTTTGGAAGGTACGTAATGAACTGAAACCAATGGTTGTGATTCCTCGGGAAAAGACTGCAGACACGTTGCTTGCAAAGCCAGAGTTTTATGACATCTTTAATTTATTATCTATTTCCTGGGTAAGGACTGGTTTATGTCATTAGCATCATCCTTAAAGGTCATGTTCTGGGATGTTTTTCCTTTCTGACACTTGTCCACATTCAGCAGATATGGAAAAATTAAGTTTGCAGATGTGACCTATGTTGAGTATGATAATATTTCTGAAATAAATCAAAACTAATTTGCCTATAAATATTGTTGAGGAACTGTTTTAAATGTCAGTGTGCTAGTGGAATTAACAGTTGTTCTTTTATTGAGCATGCTGTTCTGCTGAAGTTGCCCTCTTAGCAATTGTCGAAGTATAAAATCTGTTCTGAAAACTGTCTTTGCCATTTATTACTGAGGATGTTACACTCATGAAAGCTCCTAGATTGACCACAGTGTCAGTGTTCAGTTTGAAATACATCTATCTGGTAAGTTACCTAGAGCATTTGAATTAAACTTTCAGTCCTGTCCTGTGTAGTTGTACAAAGGACTTGATGAGACCTAGCCATAACAAGATTATTTCAGTCTGGATGCTTAAGAGAGGAAATTTTGATGATGCTGAAACAAGTGGAAAATATTCTCAGTGATTTCATTGTTGTCAATATTTAAACCAAATGTGAATGGTGCATCCATCCAGTGACACTACTGGCACAGTCACTTTGTTCAGACGTCTTACAGAAACCTTTCTAATACAAACTGGATTGGTGTTACTTACCAATTATAAGTCAGAGATATAATTTATATATTTTTGCTTATTTTTACATGTGTTTGTGAAATAAATAGATAGTACTATATGATCCTGGGTTTGCACAGGTTGATGGCCGATCGAGTGCTTGTGATTGGCAGCGGAGGGAGAGAGCATGCGCTGGCCTGGAAGTTGGCCCAGTCTCCACATGTAAAACATGTGTTTGTTGCTCCAGGAAATGCAGGAACAGCTGACAATGGAAAAATTTCAAATTCAGGTAAAAAGAGGGAAAAAATAAAATACTGTGCCAAGCAATCAGTAATATGTGTGTTGGAACTGGAACAAACCTGACTATATTTGTATTGAGTCAGTAGAAGATAACAATGATTCTTTTCTTTTACTGATACCACAAAATATTTAGGGCACAGATTTTTGTGTGTGTTTTGTTTCTGAATTTTAGAACTGCCTAGAAAAACATCATACTATGTCTATTTTTAGCCTAGGTTCTTAGGATAGTGAGGCTTATATGAGACTGTGTGTTTCTATACCTCATCTCTTTTCTCCCACTGTTATGTTTGAATTTACTGACGGCCTTCAGTGAAACTTAACAGAAGAATAGAAGGCTCAAAGTTATTAACTTCTGGATAGAAACTTCTCTGATATCTGTCCAGGCTGCCCAGCTAAATTTAGCTACATCACGCACTGGCATGGAGTAAATCTTTGCTCAAATGTTGAAATTGATTTTCCTTTAAGAACTTACAGTTTTATTTTTAAAAGTTTTTATTCTGTTATGATAAGCAGCTTTAAAAAGTCTATATTGATTACATATAGCAAATAGAATGCATTTGATAAATTCTCAGATGTATATTTAAAACAGTAGTGGAAACTGGAAATGTTCACTGTTCCTTTTGAACTCTGTCATTATTCTATTATTTGTTTTACTTTGCCCTTCAAGGGCTGTTTCATTATTTTAATTATACTTGGTAGGGAGATGGAACAATAACATCCTCATCTCTCATCTCTTATTTAGGCTTTACAGTGGTAACTTAATTATATTTCCTTTGCCTTTTCAGCTGTATTAGTGAGCAATCACACTATTGTTACCCAGTTCTGCAAAGATCATAACATTGGGCTTGTGTTAGTTGGACAAGAAGCTCTTTTGGCAGCTGGTAAGGCTGAAATAAATTAACTTGACAGTAAAAATCAGCATCTTGAATTCTGCTTTAAAATGACCTCTTTAGGCTCTTAGGACACACAGTGAATTAAGCTAAAGAGCAAGAAAATTTGGATTATCTTGTAAATTGTAGTCCCTTAAAATATTTGGCTTCATAGCTGTATGCTGTTTTTTGTATGTTAGAAATCAGCAGGGGAAAACGTGCAGAATCAAGAATCAGTAATGGTTACAAGTACTTGTGTCTTGTGGTCTGCTTTCCTTTATATAAAGAATTTTCTTGCAATAGTCCTAACATTGTCGCTGTATGCAACAGTACCCAGACCATCATGTGCATTTATTGTAATGTGGTACAGTGAGATCAGTACTTACTGTAGTACCAGACAGTTCTATCCAATAGTCATGGAGTGGTAACTGTGACAGTGCTTAGTAATGTAAAGAGCTGAAGACCTCTTAAAACTAAACGATGAAATAGGTCACTGGATATGCAGAACCTTACTGTAAGGATGAATTAGCTGTTTGAGACAAGGAAACGTGTAACAGAGTGCCAGAATGGTAATGTGGTTTTCCTTTTGTCAAAATGACTTGTTTCCAAAGAGACGACTTGCATCTTTTGCTATTTTTTGATAATTAGGGATTGTTGATGACTTGAGAGCAGCAGGAGTTAGGTGTTTTGGACCATCTGCAAAAGCAGCCCAGCTGGCATCCAACATCAGTTTTGCCAAAGCCTTTCTGGATCGACATGGGATCCCAACAGCAAGATGGAAAGCCTTCACCAATCCCCAGGAGGCTTGTAGGTTTATTATCAGGTAAAGATTTTGATACTGGAAACACCTCTGTCAATTTGTAGATGCATTTGGCCTTCACCCATGATAGTTACCTAGAACTTGGTAACTTTTCAACTGTTGTTCTTCTCAAGTACCTACTGAATTAATTAGTTTTGTAATTAGAGACAGATGATGAAGGTGCAGGGAACTTAAACAGGTTGACTTTTCTGTTCACAGATCACAGCTCTTCTTCCCTTTGATCAGCTTCTTCAGGATGCTAGTTAGAGCATCTTTTATTCAAAAGATAAAAAAATTGTGACAGAGAAAAATATTTCAGTAGTCTTTCTATGAGGGTAAGAATAATTTCTACACAGTTACCAGCAAAATGCTATCTGTGGAGTGATTTGGGAGGTACTGGTCAAATACTCATAACTTAATGAGTATACCCTTATTTCTTCAAGGTTAGACAGCATCTCTCTTACATGGAGAGAGAAATGTAACTGCATATCTCGCAATTGCTTTGCACGGTAATGCCTCTGAAGTCATTGGGGATCCTCTGGGAGAGTAACTTACCACTGTGGCTATTTTGATCCAGTCTCACAGCAGCTGCTGTGTTCAGCAACACTGGTCTGTAGCTGTGGGTCGGTTTCACGGACTTCTTGTCTTTGCTGTCACGTGCTACATGTGGTATAACCTAGTGGAACTTTTTTTTTTTTTAAATAAAAACAACCTTTTCACTGACTTTGCTCTGTAACAGCATTTAGTCTGTATTACTGCCATGTAGAGAAACGGGCCAACAACTGGTATTTCTGCAAGCATGCATAAGACTCAAAAAGGAAAACTGTATCTCAGGTCAGGACACTGAGATGTGGAAAAAGGGAGCTTTGTGTGATCCTGCTTTGGCTGCTTGCATGAATCGAGGGTTGAGATTTATCCTAATATAAATCGTAATGTGTAAAGGAGAAATGAGATTTTTTTTTTCAGAAAACAGGCTAGTAGTGTGTAGAATCAGGTCTTCAAAAGGAACATTTTATTTGACTGGCCTCAAGCCAGAGAGAGGTGGATAGATAAAGTGTAGTTAAAATATGTTAATGTTATGCTGTTTTGTTCTTTTTTGTTTTTTTTTTTTTTTTTTCCTTCTAGATTTATTTTGCATTTAAGAGTAAGTGGAACAATTCTGGGCATACAGTGTTAATACACTAGTTCTAACATATCCTTTACATGCAAGAGCTAACTCAGCCTTAACCCTACAACCCTAAACAGAACTTCCATAGTGGTTTATAGGATTACGTACTGTAATCTGGTGTTACAAAACTAGCAATCATCAATGAGTTCATCTTTCCAAACCTATGACATGAATAAAATAGTAACCCAACTCAGGGAAAAGAGGAAGAAACTGCGAGATGTTAAAGTTCAGTGACTTGTCCAAGGATATACATTGAGTTGGTGTCAGAACCAACAACAGAATTCATGGATTTCTGGTCCATAGTCCGGTGCTGGGAGCTTATAAGAGTCCATTCACCTCAATGACATGATGGGCTCTGTGTTTTTCTGATGTGTTATTCTTCAACTGTTTGGAAAAAAAAGGAAGAATATGGGAGGCATTCAGCTTAAAAATGATAATTTCACTGGATGCAGTAGGGATGCCCGAATCTCACTTTTGCTTTCATTTAAAGCACAGACTTTCCTGCACGAGTTGTACGGGCAAGGGGCCCTGCTGCTAGAAAAGAAGTGACTATTGCAGCCAGCAAAGAGGAAGCCTGCAGAGCTGTCCAAGAGATGATGCAGGTGGATAAATCTTCCATTAATCAGTGGGAATACAATTCTTGATTCTGTGAGTTTGTAATTTCAGCCACAGGAAGCAAATATTTTCAGAAGAAACTTGCCCATTTGACTATGGAATTTCTCTGAGTATGCTCCTCAAATTCCTCATGTTTGCCCCAGACAGTGGGCAGCTAGCAGGGCTTTGTAGAGTTTGTGACTGAACTCTTGTTCCAGCACTGAGCCCTGCTGCCCTGCCCCTCCAGCTTCTTCATTTTTCATTGGCTCCTGGGGTCTGATAAGGTGCATTTCAATGCATCTTCCTTATCTGCAGATGAGTTTCTATTGTGTTTGCTCAGCATACCAGAATTCAAGCAAGCCAATACTTTTCATAGACCTTGTTTTCTTCTGTTAAAAGAAAATAAAGACAGAGTTTAGCCAGTAGATGTCATGTTTGCTAACTGGAGAAATTTTTTTTGTACAGGACGGAATGTTTGGAGAGATGGTTGTTATTGAAGAACTTCTTCAAGGGGAAGAACTTTCTGTACGTGATCAATGGTGTGGTTATATGCTTTTATTCTTTGGTATTTTTGCTATTCTCTGTGAATAAACACACAAGTTTATTGTTTCAAATAGGGTTTTTTTGTTTATTTGCACTTACGTAAATAAATATGCAGTGTAAGCAATTTAATGTCATACTAATCAATGTATGTTGTCAGTAGAATTTTCTTCTGCATTAGCCATAAAATTGTGATTATGGTGATCTTTTTAGTTGGAAGATGATATTTTTGCCTGAAGTGACCTAAAACATGTTTGTATGGACTTTGTCTTGGTAATTCTTGTTACATCAATAATTCTGTGCTAATATTTAGTGCCTATTTCAACACTTTCCTTACCATGGATTACTATTCAGTGGTAGGATAAAACTTAAGCATGCATATTATATGCCACATGAAAACTGAAAGCGTGTTCTTTGTGCAAGGTTTGTCCTGCACTGAGAATACCTCACACTCACTCAGGCCCCAGATCTGCAAACACACAGGTTTAACTCGAAACATATGAATAAATTCTGTCAAGTCAATTAAGACTATTCACATGCCTTAAGGTGAGCATATGTCCATGTGACTGAGAGGTCAAGATCTAATTCATCAGAAAGGATTTCTTATGAGGGCCACCGTTTCTCCTGATTATTTAAAAATGAGAAAGAAAGCTCAATGAATCTGTCCTTCAGGTCAGTGGGCTTGCAGCAGAGTAAGTGGATCCTACTGCTTTCTATCTTCAATTCCTAAATTTCCCTGGTAGAACTGAGCCTCAGCCTGTTACCTTCCCTTGGGACGGGACATTGTCACTGTTGCTGTTGTGTGCATCTCTTAACAGTGCTTGTGCTTCACGGATGGTGTCACTGTTGCCTCAATGCCCCCAGCCCAGGCCCACAAACGATTATTGGATGGTGACCAGGGTCCAAACACTGGAGGGATGGGAGCCTACTGTCCGGTTCCACAGGTATAGCAGTCCTCCTCCTCAGCCTGCAATAAGGCTGATCACATCTGTGGTTAATATATCTCCTTTAGGGCCCAATCTTGTTTCTACCACATAGGCCAGATTTCTTTTGGAATTGATTGACACTTTGCTTGTGTAAGTGCAATATAGGGCTCAAATTTTAGTAGTCATTCTTTAGGATTTAATGAGCTAGTGTTCTGAGGAATGGTCTCTCTTTTACCTTTTCCATTATTCCTCATCTCGGTGTTCCTCCGCTCCTGCTAGCATCACTTGAAATGTCCCTGCAAAATTCCCCACATGCCTGGAGTCTTTGTGTCTTGAACATAACCCTGGGTTTCTTGTTGATTCCTAAAGCTGACTGCATTGTTCCAAATATGCTGCTCAAGTACATTATTAGTGTGTTTTTCTATAACTAGAGAAGCAATCTTACTGTGTACAGCCCAGGTTGCCAGTGTCTCAAACCTCCTTAAAATTTGCCTTACAAAGAAAGAACCAAACAAAAAATCTTGGGAGACAGAGGATCAGTATATCTGTCCTTCAGGCAGCAGCACCCTAATGGAAGGAGTGCACTGGTTGGGGGTGGGAGAGCAGAAGATGTAGCTGGGGTATTTACTTACCCCAGTCCTTCCAGGGCCTATGAGCTAGTCCAGCAAATGTCATCACTGTCTCAATCAGTTTGATGTTGATCATCAGGTTCCAGAAGTTCTTCTAGAGAAAATCAATGATGCTATCCTTCAACGTGTTGTTGATAGTATGAGACAAGAAGGAACAGCATATGTAGGTAAGTAAGCATTCAGCTGAAAAACAAGGTAAAGTCATAGCAATGTTAGTTTCATTGTTAGAGATTGTTTTTGAATTCCAAATAATATTTGTTTGTTTGCTTTTTTGTTTGTTTTTTAAATAAAAAAGTAGTTCATTTTTCATGCAGTATTAAGTCTTACTTGTTTGGCTTATAGCTCTTCCTTTGGAGAAAAGAACTTTTGTCTTTTCTCCATAAAACACACTGTGTTTTTATTAAATATTTTTTATTAAAACAGTTGCAACCAGACTCTTTGTAGTCCAAGGTATAATATATACTTAAATTCAGTTGTACTGATCACTCCTACATAGAGCAATGTAAGTTTTCTTAAGATCTTTGTCTTAAGGCTGTTTTGAAAATGTAAGGTGATGCTCACAGCTGTCACTTTTTCATCCTGTCAGTTCCTTCTGATCTCTGAACGCCTGCATTTAGAGAGCTGTAGTGGAAGGCAGACTTTCTGATGCAGAGGAGTTGCTTTCTGTTGTGTTCAGCCTAAAATGTGATGCAATGTTCCTCAAGGTGCTGCTTGCCACTTTGTTGGTTATTGTGGAATTATAATGACTTGCATTCAAGTGCTTGCAGAATCCTTGCTCCTAATTCCTTATGAGTTGCAGAAATGCATCCCACATTCCAAAATACTGTGTTGCATTTAAAGGAGTTCTTGAAAAATAAACATTTAAATTAATTTGCTTGGCTGTGTTCTTTTTGTCCAGGTGTGCTGCAAACAGGTTTAATACTTACCAGAGATGGTGTGAAAATTTTAAACTTTAAATGTCAGTTTGGTGACCCTCAGTGCCAGGTGAGTGAAAGATACTGAAAACTTAAATATGCTTCATTCTTTTAGCTCTGACTGTTCTGGCTTACCTCTAGGGAAATTTGCATGCCTATAGTTTCCAAATCTACTGGTATAGGGAAATACAGTCATTTCAGTTTGGCCAGATTTCACTCTATTAATTGAATTTTCCTTAAGTTGAATTTCAACATGTCAGCAAAATAAAAATTAACTTCTAGCACTATGAAAATTTTCTGCAGGTAATTCTTCCACTGCTTAAAAATGATTTTTATGAAGTGATTCAAGCAACAATTGATGGCAAGCTCTGCAGCTTCATGCCAGCCTGGTCAGAAAATAGTACAGCTGCCTGTGTGGTCATGGCAAGTCCAGGATACCCAGGAGACTATGACAAAGGCATGGAGGTAACAGGTAACTGCAGTAGATTGTTTACTATTTAATTTCAGTGTAGTCCTTCAGTAGGTTTGCATTTACCTCTTCTCCCAGGGATCTGTACAGCTTTCCTATATCCTGCCCCTCCCACCCTACCAGACTCTGCCTTCATTTGTCACTCCTTGTCTTTGTGGAAGGGAGAGCTGTTTGGTAGGATCTTTTATCCAGTGTGTGTGCCTGTCCAAAGTCGCACGGGGGCTAAATGTTTAAAGTTACATCGTTCTATAAAGCTCTGCCTGTAACTGGTTGCTGAGATAAGAAGGTGATGGGGAATTATGTTCTCCTGGAATAACTCTGCTGTGTCCACGTGAAGTACTTCCACAACCTGTGCTGGAAACGTGGACCACAATGTTGCCAGTACATGACTGCTTTTTCCTAGCTTTGCTCCCTTGCCAGGAGGTCACATTATCTTAGCTAATGCTTGACCAGGTGGTAAGGGTGAGACTTGAGGACCTATGGCTTTTAAAATAGGAGCAGTGCATGCCCCCACCATCAGTGTGGTTCCATCCCTTGTGCCAGCCAGCCAGGGTCATTGCTGTGTAATACTAATAAGGGCCTCTTCTTCATAGGGCTTGAAGGGTTTTTGGAGAGGTGGGCATGTGATCTTTAGACCAATATTAATTTTCTGTGTTAAAATTCTTGTGGTTTAATATCTCATTAAGATTTTTTGAAATGTTCAAAACCAGCGGGAACTGTTGCAGAACTATTTCCTTCCTCCTCAGCTACTGCCTTGCCAGTCCAACACTGTGCCTTGTGTAAAGCAACACAGACAACTGATCTTGTATCAAGGCCACCTTAATTTTGTTAGAGCTCCAGTTACCCTACATCACTCAGGGAGAAGGTCATGTTATATTGCTTTTTCCCTTGTCAAGATTTCTTCTGTCCTGTTCTCCTCACCCACCCTCCTCTTCCAGTTCCCTCACTGTATTTATTTTGGTTTTGTCAGTGATATTCTGGGAAACTCTGTTTTTTCTGTAACCGTAAAAATCCAAACCACGTAACTGGGTGAATTCTTCTGCTAGTGAGCTACCTTTCACTAGTCAGACTCAGGAATTTAACTCTTTTCAAGTTGATATTCATATCTTTAGGAGTGAGATGGTGTGACCACCCCTGCTTGTTAATCACAAAAAAAAGCCAGTCAAAACAGTGAAATTCAATCCATTCTTCTATGATTATACTCCATCCTCTGGAGTTGTATAGGTTTTATTAGTTTTTTTTCCTATCTTTCACACTGATTCCCACATTTTAATGGCTTAACAAACATTTTATTCTGGAGTATTCCTAAAGACATGATGGGAAGGAGTTAGGTTTCCATTGCAGCATGGCCAGCTGAGGCTCAGCTTTGACCTTATCCGGGCAGTGCTGTGGCCATGTAACACACTGTACCTTCAGCAAGCATAAAGGTCCTTTTTACTTGTTTATAAAATCTATCTAGCCAATAGCAAGGGGAAAACTGTGTTTTGTTTTGTTTTTTCCAGGTGATGGCAGCAGTTCCTCCTCTTCCCTTATCCTCTCATCAAGATATGAATCTAAAAAAAGCCCTGAACAATTTTGCTTTCCCCTAACAGGAAAACACATGGAGAGAAATTAAAAGAACAAAATACATTATTTGTTTTGGCTTTTGGACAGCCACCTGCAAGTGTTTGGAGGGCACTGACTCCAAATGTGGTAGGATGTTGTGTGGAGTAGGCACAGCAAAATAGCTAGGGGAGTGCTGATGTAACATTAGCATTAATGGTTTAATGTCAGGGAAAAGGGAAAATCCAGGCAGTAAACGGCTATGAATTGTGATTTCATACAGGAAAGCCCGACACAAATTATTCACAATTACAATATACAACACAGCTTTGCTGTGGCACAGGGTAGTTTTATGTCCTGTTGTGGCTCTTGGATCCCTTATTTCTGTTCCTGTGTGATCTCTGTCCTTACTAGATGTCTCAAAAGGGAGTTTTAGGGCCAGTGGAATGGGATACCTTTCACTGGTAATGCTGTTTCTCAGAAGAAAGGTAAGGTGGGAAGCTTTATTGTTGTTCTCCCTTGACTGAAGAAAGGACATAAATCTTCACTACTTTGCCAACACAGTACATGATTTAAAATATTCAGAGAATTCCTTTTGCTTTTGTAGGGCTGCTGCAAGCCAGAGAGTTAGGGCTGCAGGTGTTCCATGCTGGCACAACGCTGAAGGATGGCAGAGTGGTGACAAGTGGTGGCAGAGTCCTCTCCATTACTGCTGTTAAGGAGGACCTGATGAAAGCCCTGGCAGAAGCCAACAGGGGTGTAGCGGCCATACATTTCAAGGGTGCCACTTACAGGAAGGACATTGGACATCGGGGTATACGGCTCCTCAAAGTGTCTCTGTATGTAAGCAAAGGCACTAGCAGAAATAGATGCTAGCCCAAAGTTTTCTATCCGCTCTTCCCATTTGTGTGATGAATGATGGTCTATGCAGAAAATGTCACTGCTGCTGCTAGCATGTGCTTTATTCCCTGCAGGGGTCTAATATACAGAGAGAGACGTGTGGAAACTGTAACCAGTGATGTTTTGTTTCATCAGCCAGAAACGTCAATTGTAAGTGGTACCAGATCAGGTAAGACTGGGAAGAATCTTTGAATTTCCTCAGTATATTGACTGGAACAGAACTGTTTTGTTTTCCCCAGGAGGTGATCAATGCATTCTTGGCATTGAAATTGAGCTTGAGCAGCTGGGCTGGGGTCACCACAAAGAAAGAAAACTCTTAATTTCTTCCTCATCACTCTTCTTTTGCTTAATTAAAAAGTAGTTGTCTTACCATGGAGATGATTGCACTTTTTCAAGGTTAGTCTAGTGAACAGAATAACTCCTGGATTAATGGAGTGGATTTGTACATCATTGGGCAGAAGTGATCCTACTGGCTGTATATCTGAGTACAACATCCAAACAGTTATTAGGGTGTGGCTAACAGTCACTGGATTTACTAATTGCTCTTCAGACTGTGTCCTTTACTCTTAGCAGTGATCTACTGAGGAAAATTCCCTGTTGACTTTTTTCCCCTTAGAAAAAAAGTAGTTACATAAAGGAAAAAGGCAAGCTGTTAACAGTTCGGTAAAATGTTTAACCTTCGCTATCCACAATCCATAGGACACAAATACAGAATAATGAAGTTCTGTTTACACCACCATGAAATATGTGACTTTGGGGTCCATGCTTCATAAAGCTGTGCATGTTTCTGTCAGTGGACACAGTTCTGTCTTCTCTAAGAAATCATAATTTGCAGTACTTGCCTTGGTGACTGTTTTGGGGCTCTTTATTTCCCTTTAAAATGCTGCTTATTTGTACTTGGCAGGCAGTCATTCAGAAGTAGGAGGCTTTGCTGGTTTCTTTGACTTGAAAGCATCTGGTTATGATGATCCTATCTTGGTATCTCAAACTAAAGGCCTTGGACCTAAACTGCAGGTAACTTGCAACTTGACTGTAGCAAAGCTTATGTTATCTCCCAAGTTTGTTTTAAATGCCACAGCCAATTACACCATCTGCACCCTTCTGAGCATTATAAATACATCTCAAGTCCACTGCAGTGGTCATTTGAACTTTGGCAATGAGCAAGGCCTGGGCATATGTTATTGAGAATATGGAGGCTCTGGATATTTTGTGATGAAATGATAATAAATCAAAAAAATCAAGTAAGTACTTGAGGAACTAAGAACCAGAAATTCTGCTATAAAATAGAGGGTCCATTGGCATTGAGAAAGATTAGTTCATAGGAGTGCAGGGAAGCGTTGAATTGGTAACTGTCAGGCTCAGCTTAATAACCTGTATCCAGAGAGGTAGCATGATTACCTCTGGCAGGGCACTGGGGAAAAGGAGGATGGAGGAGATAAACATTAAAGGCAGAGAGAAGCCAATACATGAAGAATGCTTATTAAACAAGAACACATGGGATAAGCTGAGCCAAGAATATATTTATATATTGAATCAGAAGGCAGCTTTCAGCCGTCAAAGGAGTGGAGGTCTGAAGCTGCCTTTCACTGCTCAAGCACAGGAACTTATTTCAAGTTGGTGTTTATACCTTTAGTAATGGGATGATATGGTGTGGCTTCCTGCAATATCATGAGACTGAACATAATGATCCAGAAAGTCTTTTGCAGTCTTACATCCCTGGACGCCTCTGAGCATGAAAAAGTGATTGGTGCTGGCTCCTGCGAGTCTTTGTTCCAAGGGCTTGGCAGAGACACGTCCCCAACTGTGTTTACAAAAGCTGTTCCCAAGACTCTTCTTTGGCCAAAAAAAGTTGGCTGATGTCTATACGAATTGTTACTAGATCAGTGGGAGGGAGGTGTTATAATGCAACAAAGGACATGGGATGACTGGTTTCCATAGCACTTCTAAATCCACCAGCCGGTAAAAGAAATCAGGCTTGTAATCCAAACACAGACTTTGTTAAGGTTCTGATCTGTTACCATTTTGAAGACAGTGATGGTATTCATCTGCATTTTTCCCTTGCCCATCTGTCCATACTGAGCTTTTCTGCACAGGTGTAGCTACACTGATAGAGCTGTGTCAGTAAAAGGTAGCTACTTTGAAAATTGATCCATACATACGCAATCTTTGTCCTATTTCAGTCCCTGAAGTGGTAACTGACAGAGATGAATTGCACTGTGTGAGCTGGCGCTGTGCATCTACATCAGCAGCCAGCACAAGCTGAACTGCTCTGGTGCATCCCCAACAGTGTAGAAAACTCTGCTTGTAATAAAGTGGTGTAAATGTCACCACTTTGTAGAAGCCATGATGTCTGAATCAGGTTTCATTACTTGGAGGATGCAAACACCTTGATAATTTCTTTTAAAACCAAACAGCAGCCTTTCTGAGGGAAATATTATTGTTTTGTGAAAGACCTGTCTTTCAGAGGAGCCCACAGACCAGGCCCATGTTGTTGTCTGTGACATGAGATAGCTGAGATAAAAAGACTCCTTGGGGAGGGTAGGACTGAAGAATCTCATTCCCTGTGGACTTGGAGAAGAAGAAGAAGAAAACTAATTAATAAATTGTTTCAGTTTTGCTGCATAGTCCAGTGAAATTAGTAGTCAAAAATAAAGCAGAACACACTGTAATGTTTGAGCAACCTGACCTTATTTTTTGAAAATTGCTAGGATGTTGAATATCCTGGGAATTTGTAATTGCTTTTAGACATCTCTTACTCTGGAATTGACAATATATTCCAAAATGCAAACAAACAAACAACCTGAAAGGACAATTTCTGAGTAGCTGAAGCTACAATTTGAATTAATGTTTCAAAAAACAAAATAATTTTTCTTTTCTCTGCAAGAAAACAAGCTGTTTTCTCTTGATTTAAACTAGATGATGCACCAGGTTATCCTTCTGCATGTATGTTCTACAGTGATTCTTTTCAGGGAAAAGAAAATTTCTGCTTATTTGGTTAACATCTGAATTTTGCTTATTTCTTGTCACCACTGCTGTTTCCCACCATGTTTTGCAGATTGCACAAGTATGTAAAAGACACGACACCATAGGTCAGGACCTGGTTGCCATGTGTGTCAATGACATCCTGGCTCAAGGAGCAGAGCCTCTCTTCTTCCTCAGTTACTTTGCCTGTGGCAAACTTGATGCTGAAGTGACTGAAACAATCAAAGAAGGAATAGCTGAAGCTTGCAGAAATGCAGGATGTGCTTTCCTGGGTATGAACACTCCTTTCTTTTGAGATTTGAAGATTCTGATGTTGAAACAATTACTAGTGAAACAGACATTATAGGCAGAGGCAGTATGTGGCATTAGAACTGTTGGTTTCTGTTTGGTGGAAAAAAACGTCAAGTATTTGGGCTTAAACTCTTCCTTATCTGCAAAATGGTCGGTCAGCACAGAGGGATGATTTTTACTATTAATGCATCTGGATCTTAATTCCTGTATCCTTGTACAAAGGAGAGCAAAACTGGATTCCTCACATTCTTGAAGTGTTAATATGTTTTCATTCCCTCTCTGATACTCAGTCATAGCCGAGAGGTGCCAGATAAGTAGCGTGAACTGAAAAAGAAAAGTTTCTTCTTTCAGTAGCTTCATGAAGCTTTGTTTTGTTGAAATCTTGAGGTGAGGTAAGAAATAAAGAAGGATTTAAAAAATATATCTGCACGTGCTTCTTAGACTGCATGTCTCTGCAGCTATCCTGGTTACATCGCGTATTGTTGGAGATGCTATAAAGTTAACAGTAAAACATACAGTAGTGCTGACTGCTTTCTCTCCCTACTTAGGCAGGGAGATGGCTGAGGTGCATGGCATGTATTCTTCTGGAGAGTATGACCTGGCTGGCTTTGTGGTTGGTGCAGTGGAGCGAGGGCAGATGCTTCTGCAGCTGCAGAGAGCTGATGAGGAGGATGTGCTTATTGGACTGGCCTCTTCCAGGATTCACGGTCGTGGCTTTAGCACCATAAGGAAGATTCTCTTAATGTCCTCCTTACACTACTCCTCACCAGCACCTGGCAGTTGTGGTGACAAGACTCTAGGTACAATATGTTTCTTCTCAAAAGCAAACCTGCAAATGAATTGTGTTCAGAAATTTTCAAAACTAGGTGCTGCCAAGGGTTGTTTACTTCAGGATGGGTTAGGGTTAATCAGTCTTTGGTGTAGGTATGTTGGCTTGCATCCAATTTTGGAACAGAGGGCCAGCACTTTTTGCTACTTCCCAAGGTCATCTGCCACAAAGAGCAGAAGGGAACCTGTTCAGAGAAGCATTCTCACGAAACACCTAATGACCTTTTAAACAAATGGATTGATTTGACACTTTTGTTTGCAGGGGACGTGTTGCTGACCCCAGCAAAAATGTACAGTCCATCTTTGCTGCCTGTCCTTCGCTCAGGGCATGTGAAGGCTTTTGTCTTCATTGCTGAGGAGGGGTTGCTGGAAGGCATCTCCAGAATCCTACCAGAACATGTCAGCGCTGTCCTAGGTAAATATGAAAAAGATGACTGTTTCTGTCTGACAAAATTTATATACACATGGACTTGGCTTTTCAGCTTCAGTTATAGAGCTACTCAGAAATGTACATGTCGACATAGTTGGAGACCGAATGACCTGAAGTTAATGCTTTTCCAAAAAGCCTACCAAAAGCATTCCTATTTCAAGTAAGCATTGGCTGGTGAGCACCACTCTCTCGTTGGAGAAGGGAAATTTAAGGAGAGTTTGAAAGCAGCTTATCTCTAGGACAAAATGTTTTTGAAAAGATTGTGTATTCTGCAAGACACCTCTCCATACTAAACATTTTGACCAAACAGTAAAGCTTGTTGTGAGAATTAATTTGCATTATTCGCTCCACAGTATATGTACACACGCACATACACACACACACATTTAATGCAGTTTTATGGCAGACGCTAGCTTCCTCACAACAGATTAGCATGTGACAACTCTAAGTAAGGTGGAACTTCTTCTGTTGAAGCTGAAGTTGGGCAAAATATTAAAAAAGTTCAAAATATTGAAGAAAACCATAAAACCATATTAATGTAAATCAAAATGTTGTGGGGATAGGGAGGAGGGGAAGGAAGGTGTCTGTATGTCTCTCAGTATTTCTCTAGAATTAAATTAGAAAGGAAAAAAATAAACCCAGTTTACTAAGGTAGTAACAACAGACAAGGTAACAAGCCCAAGGGATTGTTAGTTTTCTAAAGTGAAGTTGAGATGTCAGGTCTGCACCATCAGGCTTTCCACAGACAACCTAAGGCCATGTCTGTGTGAGTGGGATCACTGTGAAAGCCCATGCATGCTTCCCATCTGTGTGTAGAACACTCAGCCCTGTTCCAGTCTGCCCAACAACACAACTAAGTATACATTCTTATGCTAATTATTGATTCTTTGAAACAGAAAACAAGAATTCGATTAGTCCAAAAAAAGCCAGAAGATGGTTTGTCCCATGGCTCCTTTATCTCTTACGGAAGAGATGTAAGTCATCTGTAGCTTTTTCCTTCTGGCTGGTGAGGGATAAATACGTTTTAATTTGCCATCATTTTCTCCATATTTTCCTTAGAAAGCCTAGAGAAGACTTGGCTCACACCGATTATGGCTAGAAACCTCTAGCTAAGCAACACCTATAAAGTTGACTGGAAGTTGGGTCAGTGTCCTCCTTGGACAGTATTAGAATAGGAAGAATTAGTCTCTATCAGCTCTTGTAATCCACCACTTGCAATATGCTACCGTATATAGTAAAAGATAGCTAGCAAACATTTGTGCTGACCATATACAAATCTTGTTAATTTTCAGATGCTCTCAGTTGGAAGATTCCTGAAATCTTTTGCTGGCTTTACAAAGAGGGAAACCTCTCTGCAGAGGAGATGGCTCAGACGTTTAATTGTGGGATCGGTGCAGTCTTGGTTGTGCAGAAGGACCTGGCTCAGCATGTTCTTAAGGACATACAGAGATGTGAGGAAGCTTGGCTGATTGGGAAAGTTGTTGCCCCTTGTCACACAGGTTAGCAGGTGTCCTAGTGGAAAATGAAGACACTCACAAAAATTAAGCAGAGTTTGGTTTGATTCAAAGTGTAACAGATTCATCTGCCTCACTTCAGAGGGGTTTCCACTTAGGATGTGCTACTTAATTTTTAAATTGATACAGCTCTAGATTGTTTTAGAATGTGGTTCTCTGAAGTGCTGAGCATCTTCTGGGAGTCACCAGTTGTCTTCAGTTCTGTAGGCACTGAGGAGAGTCCTTACTGCAAAGTTTGTGTAGTTCACATCTTTTTCCTGTTGTTTCACTAGGGTGGAGGCTATCCAACACCTTCATATCTAGATTTCATTGTTAAAGACACTGAGAAGTGAATGTATTGTTTTCAGAGTGACAGTATTTGAATCATGTCTTACCTAGGTACCTGCTTGAGACTTGAGTAAATCCCTCTGATGACTGTCTGTAAGGACTCAAACGTTAGTCGATTATATTTTACCACAGTCCTGGGAATCAACCCACTTCTTTTCCAACCCCTTCCCTACTCACACAGATCCTGTGTGAAGACTGAGGATAGGCCACAGCTGAGTGTAGTCATATGTGCTGGTATGTCCATTGGCTGACATACAGCAAGACGTGAGCCAAAATCCCTCTGGAAACCAAACAGCTTGGGGAGCAGTTTGGGCAGCCAAAATGCAACCTCAGTTCTGTCAACATAATTTTTCATGTAATTTTGCAACGTGAGAGGAAGACAGGTGTACAAGATGGGTTATAAACCTTGAAAAGACTATGCCATACTTAGGCCTTTGTAAACAATTCTGTGAGTAACACAAAATCCGCACATCTAGTATGAGTTGGTTTGTTCAAGTAGTAAATGCTTTTGTAGTTCAGTTAGTGCTAGCGTAAATTAATTGCTGATAGGTTTTCTCTTAATTGAAACTTATGATTAATAAACTATACAAATTAAATTTAGGTGGAAAAGTAAAATCTAAGGTATTTTAACATTTTCCTCACATATTTGGAGGAGGTTCTCACATCGAAGTCGAGAATCTTCTAGAAGCTCTGCAGCTGAGCAGCCCCCAACATCTGCTGAAAAACGCTGTTGTTGAAAGTCAACACCAACCCAGAAAGAACAAAGTTAAAGTAGCTGTTCTCATCTCTGGAACAGGTGAGCTTTCATTTATCCTCACACAGAGAAATGTCCTTATAAAGGAGAGGCTGAATTCAGCCCTGATACAAGGGCATCCACCTTGCCTTTTTTTCAGTAGAGTCTATGGACCCTACTAAAACCAAGGTTGCATTTTGAATGTAAGTCAAGAAGTTGTATTGTACTGTTAACATGCGAGCTTTATTAGTGCACAAATTCCTTAGTCCTCTTCTTTTTGTGCAGTTGTTGAAAACAAGATTATTGTTAGATAAACAGGACTGAGAGCCAATTCTCAGTGTCATAGGTGCTCAACTATTGCATGAATGTTTGCTTTCTCTTCATTTGAGGCACAAACCTTGCTGCGCTCATCAGTTATGCGAAAGACCCAGGCAGTTGTGCTCAAGTTGTCCTTGTCATCTCCAACAAGTCTGGTGTGGAAGAACTACGAAATGCAGCCCGGGCTGGAATTCCCACCAGGGTAAAGACACCCATTTCCTTTCCTTTTTATCACCAACTCACAGCTACTGAATCTGTAGGTCTTTATGAAATGTTTGGTAAGCATTCATGTTTCACTTCTGTTTAAAACTCCTATCGTAGGCAAGTGGATGTAGCACAAAGCTGTCAAAGTTTATCAGTAGAGGCAGAGCTGAAAGCTGTCTGGGCAATGCTCACTGCAGTCTGTGAGTCTTTCCCATCTCTTCAGTGAATGTTACGGTCCAGAGTCTGGAAGGGACTTAAAAACTGCAAGTGCTTTGGTGATTCGGGTCTGAGACTGTGGCCCATGCAGCTTCAAGCTTTAGCTGAAATGAGTAAGACTTCAGGCTCTGCAAAACACAGAAGCATGTTGTCTCCTTGGCTCACCCCTTCTTAGAAAGACCTTTGTCTCATATGCTCAGTCACTTTCAGTGCCACCATGAAAGTCTCTTCTCCTGCCTGTGGCCAGTAGAGTAGCACCGTGTTACAGAAACTTTCACTGGTTTGTTTATTAAAAAAAATAAATAGAAAGGGACTACCATCATGTCATCGTATTCGTCAAAGTATAGAACATGGCTTTTGAAGCATTCGGCAACTTGGATTTCAAATGCAGCCCACCAGGAATTCCTCCTTCTAACATTAAATGATTTTGAGCAGTTATCAGCTATGTACCAATGGAAATAAATAGTTACAGGCTCTCCGTGCATTAAAAAGTTTTCAGCAAGCTGAGTTGGGTTCATTTTACTTTTTTTCTGGCAGTATAAAGACTCATCTCTAGACAAAAAAAGTCACAGTATGTCAAATTTCATTCACATTTTCATAGGCAAGAGCATGACAGCTTTGTTAGCCCCTTATTTTTGAATGTCCTCATGAAGAGAGTCAGGAATCAACACTTACCTTGGGAGCTGAGGCTGAGATGTGGAATAGAAATAAAAAAGTTCCTGACTGCTCCTCCCCTTACACAGAATGTGTGGCCACTTTGTTGTCTTTTTAAAGAAATTCATGATTTTTCAGTAAGCCACTACAGACTTGGTGATGTTGTCAATGAGTCATTTTTACCTTAGTCTTTGGCTAGTCATGCTGGAGTAAGAGGTCCGTATTTTCCGATGTGTTTCCCCTTATTTCCCTCTACACCACATTATCCATGTTTCTCCTTTCACAGCTGGCTTCTCTTTGTGCAGGTTTCCTACACATCCTGTGTGATACAGCCAGTGTTAGCTGGCAAGTGATTGGGCTTTTCCCAGGAACATTTATAGGAAAGTGAAAAATCACAAATGTCCCGACTGATGTACCAACTTAAAACTTTTAAAATCCTTGAGTGTCCTGGAGTGAATCCAGTTGGCTTTCTCTTTGTTGCCCAAGTAGCTACTCTCATTCACACAAAGTTATTTCCTTGATATGGCTTTTGACGTGTTTTAATGTTTTAGGTGATTGATCATAAGTTATATGGAAGTCGCTCTGAATTTGACAGCACAATTGACCGAGTTCTTGAAGAATTTGCTGTTGAACTAATATGTCTTTCAGGATTTATGAGAATTTTGTCCAGTCCTTTTCTCAGAAAATGGAAAGGTAAGAAATTATAAGTGTGAAAGAGAAAATAAAATATGGATGCTTGGTCTCACCAGAATGACACGGTCACAGTTCTTCATCTTTTGGTTAAATCTCCCACAGCCTTGGCGACACTGAGGTTTGCATGTAAATCCGTGGGGCTGCCCTATGCTTTCATTCCTTCCAGCCAGTGGGACTGCGCTGGGATTCTGACTGTGCATTGGTAGGGAAATGCCTTGTGCTGGCAGAGAGTAACAGAGGGGCAAAATCAGGGTCACGGAGTTGGTCTGTCTGCTTTTCCTTCTGGGAAGGAGAAATGCCCGCGGAGCAGGCAGGAGCTTGTTCTGTCTGCAGTAGGGAACAGGTAGTGCAACTGTGTCACTTGTCAAGGAGCTGTGCTGGGGAGTTGTGCCGAACTTACTCCCTGCAGTTGTCACTCAGAAGAACATGGGAGAGAGCCTGATTTCTCAGTTCGTCTCCCTCCTGTGCTGCCCTGAGGGCTGCACAGCGGAGCACTGCTCTGCGCTGCGTGCTGGAGGTACGGCCGTTACAGCCCCCCGAGTGCGAGAGGCTCTGCTGCGGGGCAGAGCTTGCTTTAGACACGTTCCAGGCCCGCGGAGCAGGGAACGCACGATCCTCTTTTCCTCCTGGCTCTGGGCACCCAGGGCCAGCTCCTGAGGCCTCGCTCAGAAGTTACTCGCTCACTGTGCAAATCGCACTTGGACAGGCTCCTTTGGGAATGATGTTTCCTATGAAAATCACTTCCATCTGTGCAGCGGCTCTGCGTGAGGCTGCAGTGTGACATCCTCCGCTTCCAAGCCGCTCGTCTGCAGGACGAGGGCTGGTCACCTGGGAGGGGTCCTTACCGCTCCATCTGTCCATCCACAGACGCAAAAGCAAACAAGGACCTTGGCCTTAACTGAAACGTGCTTGCCTGGCTACTGCCAAAGCATGCACACCATCACCTGTGCTCCTGGAAGAGCAGTATTTCCTCCGATCAGGGCAGCCCTTCCTCAGACTTCCTTAGAGATTGTAACACCATATATATGTTCTGCTTTTTAACTTGAATCTGAAGATGTTACATTCTGACTGCAGCTGAGACCATTTAAACTCACAAGTGGTGCTCAATGATGTTGTTTTGAACTGATGATCACATCTCACTTTCTCACTTTTATTTCTAGAGGAAATTCAGTTCAAATTGTTTCTATCTTTTTTTTCCCCCTCTCACACTGATGCCCAGGGAAAGTTTTGAATGCTTCCCCATCACTTTTCCCACTAATCAAGGATGGAAATGTCCATCAGCAAGCCCTGCAAACTGGATTAAAAGTCACAGGCTGCACAGTGCATTTTGTCCTGGTAAGTGTCCTCTTGCCTAACATTGAGTAAGTTATGAAAAGGAATTTGCTTTTTTTCTTTTCTTTCTGAAGGCAGAAACAGGAAGAGGTAACAGGAGTGTGTGGAAATCTTGGGATTGTTACCGGTAAAAACAGGAAGATGTGAGGATTACACTGCATTTGTGGTTTCTTGAGGTGCTGCCTTCTTCCTTCATATTACGGGGTGGGGTTTTTTTTCAGTTTCTCCCACTCTCAGCAAACTTCCCTCTGAACCTTCTAGCCCATGTCTCTCTCCCCGCCGTACCCCCGATGTAATGTAGGTACCCCTCATGGAGGTGGCAAGCGTCTCTAGAGGTACGTTAAGCCTCCTGCACACAGCTACACGTGCGCTCACCGGGATCTCTCAGGAGACTTTCTCTGCCCCGTCCACATCATCTGTAACCTTCCTGAGACTGTTCACCAGCCTCTTCTAAAAGACTCCCAATATCCCCATTTTAGGAGGAATCTAGTCCAAAAGCAGTGATCCACCAGGAGCCGGTATCTGTGAAGGCTGACGACACAGAGGAGACACTGTCAGAAAGGGTTAAAGAAGCTGAGTGTCGGGCTTTTCCCATCGCCCTGCAGCTGGTGGCCAGTGGAGCAGTGCAGTTAGGAGCTGATGGTAAAACCTACTGGAAACAAGAGAGCCAAAGTCTGTGTCTTCCAGAAGAGCAGAGAGACTGCACATCCCCTCTCGCGGCTCTGGAGCCTCAGGAAACCGATGTGGTGTAGCCAGGTTGATGAGTGGCTTGCTCTCTGCTCGTCCTGCCCTCCTCCTCCCTGCCCTCTATGTGCTTCTCTTCGACTGCAGGCGTATCAGTGTCACGGCTTTCCATTCTGAGCCGTGAGCCTTTCCCCTCAGCTTGCAGTTTTAGTTACACTCCTTTTGCAAACCTGGCGGTGGAAGCCAAGCTATCATTTCAGATTTTGGATTTCTCTGTTCTGTTTTTTCACCTGTAAAGGAGATACTGTGTTACAAAGCAAAGAGGAGGCTTAAGCTGTAAAAATGGTCTAGTGCTTCAGAGGGAAATGAATTCTTCTGAGGGATCAGTTTTTGTTGGCTGCACCACATTGCACCAAGAGCTTCACAGAGCAACCACAAACAGGACTCAGGCTGCTGCAACAGGGTGACCCACTCCTGTTGGATGGAAGAGGCCAGACATGTCGGGGCAGATCAGAAGGGAGGCCCAGCCTGGCACTGTGTGGATTTGGGGGGTGAGCAAGCACTAGGGACAAATGCATAGTTCTGTGGGAGAAAGGGGGAGCCTTCAAGAACCTCATCTTTGTGAGCCCCACCACTGTGGGAGCACCTCAGGGTACAGAGAAGAGGATATGCAAACATGCACCAGTGTGAGGACCAGAGTCTTGTGAGCTGCCAAGCAGGACATCCAAAGGCCAACAAGGCAGGGAACATTTAAAAGGCAAAAGAAAAAAAAACAAACAAACAAACAAAAAACCCCCAAACTAACAAACTCCCCTTCATAGATTACTTGTCAATACAGTGTAATAGTGGCTACTGAACATACATCTAGACATTTTCCCCTGCTCCTTGAAAAGGGACGGTGCATCAATATTCCCAGAATTTCATGTTACAACTTTTGGATCTTGAGGGATGAAAATTTGGTTAGGACTAGAAACACCAGATTTCAGGCATTTTTCCTCCTTCATCCTTGAAATGAGCAGAACAAGACATCCTCAGCTTAATTGGCAGTGACGGGAAAAATCTCTGTTTTCTTTGTTGACTGAATGATTGGCTTGGTCCAGAGAGTCACTGCTTTTAAATAAAACCTTTTTCTGTGGGAAGCTTATTTTGTATCTGCCAGAATAATGTCTTGCATGCAAGTAACAAATGATAGGAAAAAAGGTAGCTAAGAAGCTGCTTGAACAAACTAGAGAAGAAGTAGCCAGAGCTGAATTTTCCAGAGGAGGGATCACTAATAGCCATTACACGCAATGAAAAAAATGTATTCTTGCTTTGGTATTACATGTGCTGTACTAGTGAGGGACATACTGTATATGTCACTCTCGGCTATACTAGGCTGTCTGAGAGCATGAGTCAGCTCCAGTTAAAATGTCTAAATTTTTCCTTTTTTTTTTTTTTTTTTTTTATGTGTAGCTAGTGGTGTTTCAGTAGTTAGGGAGGGGAAAAAAATTCAGTTTCCTCCTGTAAACTCTGCCATTTATGTACAGAAATCTGTATTTGTCTTTTGCACACCAATAACTGGAACAAGGAATGTGTATTTTTCATCATCTGGGAGAAAAAGGAAGAACCATAACAAGGCAAGGTTAACAAATGTTTGGTATATATAGATAATTTTTATGATACACACGTTGTTTAGTTTGCTTTCAGTCTGTTGTAACTGTGTAGTAACTTCCTGTTGTATATTATTTGAATTGCATAGCACGCATGACTGAATGTTCCAAACTTAACAAATAAAATGTTAAAAGAGAATAGAGTGCTAGTTATTGTGCTCCGGTAGCTCTCCAGATGAGCACCACGGTATCGAACAACTGTTTCCCCAATTGTGTTCCTGGCATCCCTCTGAGATTGGGTGTGGTGATAATCTATTAATCTATTTATTCTTTTTACAGAGTGGTAATTGAAGCAAAGCCATCTAAGATCCAGTTCACAGCGAAATTCTTTTTTTATGCGGTTGTAGAAATACAGATGGGTGCCTAAATCCTATTTGTCATCAGCCTTAGATGGCAAAATACCTGAATCTTGCTCAAGCTGTCTGTGATGGCATGAGGTATTGGATTTGGAGCGCCTAGGCCTTCTGCTGTTAGCCTTTCTGGCAGCAATCAAACTGATTTTATCAATAATGTTATATTTATTAACTGTACAGGTAGTGATTTCACCCCTCATAGTCTTGCTTCTTCTAACGTGCGGGTTGATTTAAGTACAATTTCTTGCGACTTGGAAAATGTTTACTTTCTCCTGGCTAAGGCACCGAACTTGTGCGGGCTGAACCCCTGCCAGCGCTGCATGCTCCGCGCATCCTTCGCGTCCTCGCCGAGACAGGCTGGATTTCAAGCCTTGGCGGGCAGTTTGCCTGTGGGGGAGGCCCTTCTGTGGGAGGGCAGGTTTGTGAGGAAAACCGCTGGGATGAAGACTTAGCTTTTGTTCTTTGCCCTTTACAAGCAAATTAAATTTGACCATGTCATCTTCCTCTGTATTTGCTTGAGCTTTATCCTCGGTGACGAACGATGACAGGAATATTTTGTCAGCAGGTTTCTTCACCACGGACCATTTGGCCACTGAAATAATGAGGTTACCACACTCGGCAAATCATTACTGACTTACGCAGGATTGCACATGTCTGTAACCTCACAAACTGATTTACAGTTGCTGTACTGTAGAAAATGTTAAATTCTGTTTCACATAATCTTCCCCCAATTTATACCCTGGTAAAGGAATTCCAAGGAAAGATTTTGATATTTAATTTTTTAACTTTATTAGATTTTATTTTAATATCCAAACTGAGATTACGTCAACATGGAAGTACCATAAGGACATCAGTGTACAGAATACAAATCAGCTTTCTCTGTATTAAAGGGGAGCTCTAAAACATACATAATCAGCTTCAGTCAGATGTTTCTGGTTTGTATTGGGGAAAACTCATTATTTTAGCAACTACACCAAAACGTTTTCACAACTATACTAAAACATTAAAAGAAGACCATGTGCTTTTTCACAAGAGTTGAGCTGTGCAAAACACCTTATTCTTTTCAGAACAACAATGTTTACTGGGTTTCCATCAGTATTATTCCAGATGAAAATACTGTTCCAAGAATAAAGGCACTTAACTTCAGCAGAATTTCTGAAGAATGTGTCACAAGCCAAGAAGACATTTTGTATCTAGTTCCTTCCTGACCTTTCTGCTCATTCAAAAAAAAAACCAAAAACCCCAACTCTTTCAGCTCTGAACAAATCTCAGAGGGGAATTCATATGTGGATTCACATGGGGATGCTCGAAGGCAGATGGCCAGCAAACATTTAATTCTATTTAGCATTTGATTGATAGCAGGTCCAATATTTGCAATTACAGGGTATGTCCAGAATCTGTGCCAGACAAGGTCTACCAACATTAAAACAGAAACTATGTGGAAAAGAAGTCCTTTTCATTATCTGCAGGAATAGTTAGTGTTTTGGGAGGCCAGTTTTTCTTGGTTTGACTAGAGATTTTTAAAAGTAAAGGTTTTTGCTTTTAGTTGTCTCTTCCATTGTACTAGTTCCATTACTTTTCCTTGCAGACACTTCACAGCACATGAGAATCCCCTGTTACAGCCTGTATGATCTGTTAGAAAGTAATACTGATGTTCCTAAGCCTATCTCAGAGATGCTCAGATCTCTGTCACTAACTGAATGGTTTTTTGTTCGTTAAGGAAGTGATTGAGAACTGAAACGTTGGCCAAGTACGTGATTACAATTAGGAAGCGTGTAACAGAGCCACTGCTGAACCTTCTGAGAACAGCCCCCTGCCTTAATATTCCCATTTGTGGCTTTCTCCGGATTTTACTTTTAATCTTTAACCATTTGAGTGAGAACATGACATGGTAAACTCTGTGTCAGAAACACTTTGTGAAAGAGAGTACAGTGTGCGTGTTACTGGGCTGCGGCCTCTGTTGTGATCAGCGAAGGCGCCCCAGCTGTTCCGCCCGAGGACGTTCGCGGACACGCTGCTCCTACTTCCAGCAGATCTTGCCAGCTTCCCCCACCTGTACGGCCCCGCTGGCGACAAGCTGCAGGGCAGCTGGGAAGGCTCGGTGCTCAGCCTCCTTCACCCTTTCGGACAGGGTCTCCACTGTATCACCGACCTTAACTGGAACGGCCTCTTGGAAAATGATTGCTCCGGCGTCAACTTCCTCCTGGAAAAGCAACAGCCAGAAAGTCTGGACTTTCTGCTGAAAGAGGGGAGAGATGGGGGCCCAGGTGTACGGCAAGGAATGTAATCCAGCTGCCTCGGGGATCTGTTCATTACATTGTTACAGGAAACAGGAGTTTGGGCTAATGTGAGGAGTGCAGAGGAGATGCTGGCGCTCACACTGGCCTGTCAGGAACTGACGGAAGCGTGGGGTTCAGAGTAAAAGAGGAGGTAGGCAGAAGAGCAGCGAGTAACATTTCTGCTATGGAAAGCAACAAAAGCCATGCTAACTGGGGACACGATAGGCTAAATTGGACAAAATGATGACATTTCAACTCAGAAGAGTGATTTAGCCAAGCCTTGGCACCAAGCTGGACGAGATCTTTCTTTTGGATGTTAATGAGGCAGATCCCTGCTGTTTAGTTATTGTTTCTCAGTACATTGCCACACAGAGAAGAAACCCTAAGTCATATCATGGAGAAAGGAATGCAATTTTTCTATCTGGAAAAACAGTTTTTGTCTTTTTTGCCAAGAGAATGCAAAAGTCAGGAGAACAGATTTCAGGAGCAGTGGAAAAGGGGAGGATAATCTGAAGAATGCAGCAGAAGAGGGGAGACTAGTTACTGTCAACCTGAGAACTGACCAAGATGGAAAAAAATGTCCCCTGAGCTGATGAAAATGGGCATCTTCCAAGTTGGGAGATCTCTGGCTTCTGTTTTCTTACTTTTTAACTAACAAATTGTTAAGTTTTTCTCTGTTCCCACAAACACTGGATTACTTCTTAACAAATCTATGCTTCTTGTGCCATTTCCCGAGTTTTGGGGTTTTTTTTTTTCCTTTTTTTCCCCCCTTTTTCCTGAAAGCAACAAATAAGGAAAATTGTATGATAAAATCTAAGTTGGTGCAGTGTAGTAATAAAGGTTTTGGGTTAGCCAAGGCCTTATATGAACTACTTCCCCCACTCCAACTGGTGGAAGGTAGCAGTGGGATGCTTAGGGAAGAAGTTAACTTAGGTAAAGCTCAAACACCTGAATAGATTATTAATTTCCAATTCCTTCTCCAGGGACAGCAAATTAAAGCACTACATTGTCTATCAATGTTATGAATGAAGAAAGGAGAAAAGGTAATCAAATGTGATGTTATAAGGGTGTTCCAAGCAAGCTCTGAGGTGAAAATCTTAAGACTAATAAATTATACAGTTAAAGGGAGGGAGAAGGAAGTACTTACAGCTACAAAGTGTACCGTACAGCCTGTGACTCGGACTCCAGCTTGTAACACCAATTTGTGGGCATTTGCTCCCTTAAAAGAAGGCAGTAGAGATGGGTGGATGTTCAATATCTTTCCTGGAAAATGATAAGTGACATCATTGTCTTTTAGAATTCAGCCTTACTAGAGTGTTCAAAATACCATAATCAAGAGGAACAAAAGATTTTTCACACGCTTGTTTTTTGATGATACTGACAGATAACCAGTCCGAAGCATTTCAGAATGTCGTGCTATTTCAGAAAAATCAAAGATGGCTATCAGTTACAATTAATTGCATGGCTAAAGCATATTTCTCCAGTGACTAATAATGATTAATTTTTTGATGTAGCGGTCCTTTCCCTCATCATCTGGTTCTTCTCTTCTTTGATCATAGGCGCGATCCTCTTTCTTACAAACTCATGACCCAGAAGAAACTTGGTGCAGTTTCAAATGATGTAATGGACCCTCCCCCCTTCCCCGTGACAAGGCAAAAATTCTTTAGCCTGGACTTTTCCTCCACACCTGTTTTGGCTTAATAAAAGGCAACAGCTGCTCATATAGGAGCCCTTCTCTCTGCCCTTCCAAAAAGCACCTGTCTGCCACTACTACTTTCCATGCGGAAAGCTGGCTGGGGGATCCTGAAATTGATAATGTAACTTCTAATGCTCAACCAGGTGCAACAGTGGTTATAACCCTGGGAAGCCTCTACCTTACATTTGCCTTAAGAGAGAAAGCATATGCCTGAGTTCCTGCCTAGCTGTAAAGTAAGGGAGAGTGGCTGCCCGTGAGCTCAGGCTCCCACTGCTACAGCAGTGCGACGGTTAATCCACGAGGAAAACTTCTTTCTTCCGGCAGGCAGGTTTCCCCTTCCTAATCTGTCTGTGACCACTCCTCCTGCCCATTCTGGACCAGAGTGAAGTCAAAAGGTGCTTGACAGCCCTGGATCTTCTATTAGATTCAGTACAAATCCTTACAGGATAAAAAAAAAAAGTGGCCATCGATACTATTTATACCACAGTATGCTACGCCCACGCTGTCTCTGGGTGCCTCCTGTTTAGGAAGACTGTGTGTCATCAGGATTCATTGAACACCACCTAAATGCCAAGCAGTGAGACTGAGCTGACATATGTTGGCGGAGGCAGCAATGTACCGAAATAGCGGCTTATGATTTTGTAATGTGAAGTGAAGGCCATTTCTGGCAGCTCCATACAAAACCTGCACTCTCGCTGCAACAACTCACGCCGCTACCGTCCTGTGCAACTCAGAGACTCATCTTCAACAATATCTCAGATGTGTTTTGTATCTCAA